TATGTATATACACCCACACATATACACACATATATACATACACACATATACATATATATAAAAAACACTTAACGTCAACCACTCATTTTGACAAAATTGTATAATTTACTATGTGTGACCTTGACTGTTTTATATATCTTTATCTTATTCTGTCAGTGGAAATGTAAACTCCATAAACAAGGAATATATCTTATACACTTGTACTGCTCACAGTGCCTGCTTGTATGTGTATTTAATAATAGTGTGCTATTATTTGTAAGCCTGTAAAATCTAATCTAAACTGCATTAATGGAATACGTGGACAAAGAAAGTAATAGTAGCACATCTCTTTAGGAGTAAAAAACCACCTCACCATCACTCCTGCGGAAAGTAAGTGAAGAGCTGTGAGTTTAGCTTAGGGGCAGAAGTGAAACACAGTGGTTAAGAGGGTATTCTCTGGAGTCTGGCAGACCTGTGCCTAAATCCTAGAAATTGCCAACTAATAGCTATGTGACCTGAGCAAGTTACAGATGAAAGAGGCTAAATAAATTTAGCTTACAAACATACACATAATAAATAGTAGAATCAGAGAATCAACCTTTACTTCTTTGACTCCAAATCTCATGTTTTTTTCAATACTCTATAGGCTGATAATAAAGTTAAAAATGACTGAGGTCACAGGACAGAATATATTAGGGAATTCTTAAACAGAATTCGTGAATACACTTGAAATACATACGAATACTACACAAATATACTCACTGATTTACAGACTATCTATGACAGAGGTGAGCAGTTGTAACAGAGATGTACAGTCCACAAAGCCAAAAATACTATCTGGCCCTTCTAGAAAGTTTGCTGACTCCCAGTCTATCCTATCAATCTTTGCTCCTCCCATCTTAACCCCTTATCTAATTTCTATGTATCCGTCTTTGCTGGTTGATCTTCTTTAGCTGATACTTCTTTGAGATGCCTTCCTTGACACTGCTTTCCCCCTATTCCAAGCCAAGCCTATCTAGGTGTTCTTTTCCCTCTCACAGCACTCTTCATTATATCGTAACTGTTGGTTTTCTTATTTGACTCATTCATAGGATGCATCCCTATAGCTATAATTTTAACACTCTGAAAACATCTGCCCTTGACCCAAACCGCACATATGGGATAGGAGTTGGG